TTTTTGAGGAAGTTGAAAAGATTTTGAATTAATGGAGCCTAAATTTTAGCAGTTACGATAACTGTAATATTACATTTTTTAATGAAATAAAAATAATAAAAAAGAGTATTTAAGTCTTTTTTCAAAATATTTTTTAATGTGTATTTTTTTTCAAATAAGTTTAATTAAGTGTACCAATTTTCAAAGAAGCCTATAATAATTTGTCTTGGGTTGGGGTCGATGACAATGAGACTGGCTAAATGGATCGCGACTTACCCACCCGTTGCTAATAGGATGGGTGAGATTAATACCCTAAATCTGATTATATTCTTTTTTTGTTTGTTTTCCTGTTGTTATAAAAGAAAAAAGAATTATTTTGAATATATTTATTCTGAAATTTATAATTTTTAGATCACACGTCATTAATTTAAGTAGAATTTATTATCTATTAAGTTGATTCAAAATCAATACATAATGTTTTGAATTTTAAAAGAGCCGATTAGGTACGTTATCCATCCCGCAACACATGTTCACATAGCGTAAGGCACAACGATGAAATTTAGCTTTCGACCTACATTTTTAACTTTAATTACAGTAAACATATTAACCAGACACTTTGATTTTAATCAATAATAATCACTTTTGAAACACACAATGTGCTTTGTACGAAATACCTTTAGTATCTTTTACATGGGAGAATACTGTTATAGAATTCAAGGATCACCATGTTGCATGATTTTTATCCTATTTTTTTTCATTTTGAACTCTTATTAGGCTGTAGAATTGATGTTAAATTTAAAGGGCCAGCCCCACCCTTATGCAGCACGATGTTGTCTGTCTTTTTGTAACAAATCAACATTACATATAAAATTTTTGAACTTTTAAAAAATTGATCTTACTATATTCAATAATATATATTTTTTTATTACATCATTTAAAATTTATTTTTACTAATTATTTTCTTAAAAAAATCGACTAAATTTCTCAAAATACATAATTCGACAAATTTTTTTCAACAAATGTATACTATCGTATATGGATAATATTTGAAATAAAAATTATATTAAACTACAAATTAATTAAATATGAAATGAATGAACTTGTAAAATGAGTGATGTGATATTTTTTAGGGAAAAAATATATAAGAAATAAAAATTCAAGCTACTAAATGTTTTATTATGTAAGTAATACATAAACAACCCTAATGTATAACCCCAAGTGGTCATTTGGTTACCGTATTATAGGGGGATAAATCACTGTATTAAATTAAAATTAGTCTAATTATGTCTTATATTGCGTTTGTTAGTTGAAATTGATTATGTATTATTTATAATATTATTTTAAATACATAAACCAACCGTATATTTTTAATACACTATATGCGTACTAATAGATCTATTTCAATACCATCCTAGAGAGGTGGTATTTTAATCCAGGTAAGATGTATTATATTCTAAATTATTTTTATATCCTCTTAACATGGTAGCTTCCTATTTATCTCCTCCTCTAGCGCATGTCTCTTAGAACATCTCCAACGGATTATGTAAAAGAAGTTTCTTAGCTAATTTAGATAGTCGATGCACAAATTTTATCCATAAGCTAATATTGACTCGTTAAATCTAGCGACTAAAGCATGCTAGATATTTCTTCAACAGAAGCTCAAAAATTGCTGGATTTGCACCAAAATCGTCACTGCACAAAACTCTACAGAAGCTCACTCCACAAAGCTCCACAAAAGTACATTGTCGCAGATCGCATAAAACTCCACATAAGCTCAACCCAGCAACTATACTTCTTTACTAGACCACATAAGTTTAACCCAACAACCNCTCTAGCGCATGTCTCTTAGAACATCTCCAACGGATTATGTAAAAGAAGTTTCTTAGCTAATTTAGATAGCCGATGCACAAATTTTATCCATAAGCTAATATTGACTCGTTAAATCTAGCGACTAAAGCATGCTAGATATTTCTTCAACAGAAGCTCAAAAATTGCTGGATTTGCACCAAAATCGTCACTGCACAAAACTCTACAGAAGCTCACTCCACAAAGCTCCACAAAAGTACATTGTCGCAGATCGCATAAAACTCCACATAAGCTCAACCCAGCAACTATACTTCTTTACTAGACCACATAAGTTTAACCCAACAACCATACTCTTTTATTTGTTCAATTTCTACAAAATAGTCAGTCATATAAATGTGTTCTTGATCATATGGGGGTATATCTTTGTTGGAAGAGGCAGTGGCAGATGGCGTTGGAAGAGTGGTGGCATCATCAAACTCAGTAAAACGCCTCAAAAAATTTAGTAAAATTTATTCAAAAATCTAGTAAAATCTCCAAAAAATTTAACAAAACCTTCCAAAAATACAGTAAACTCCGTCTAAAAATTTAGCAAAACCCCCAAAAATCTTGACTTTGGTTATTTTAGTAATTTGAGGTGATTTTGNAAAATTGCTGGATTTGCACCAAAATCGTCACTGCACAAAACTCTACAGAAGCTCACTCCACAAAGCTCCACAAAAGTACATTGTCGCAGATCGCATAAAACTCCACATAAGCTCAACCCAACAATTATACTCTTTTATTTGTTCAATTTCTACAAAATAGTCAGTCATATAAATGTGTTCTTGATCATATGGGGGTATATCTTTGTTGGAAGAGGCAGTGGCAGATGGCGTTGGAAGAGTGGTGGCATCATCAAGCTCAGTAAAACGCCTCAAAAAATTTAGTAAAATTTATTCAAAAATCTAGTAAAATCTCCAAAAAATTTAACAAAACCTTCCAAAAATACAGTAAACTTCGTCTAAAAATTTAGCAAAACCCCCAAAAATCTTGACTTTGGTTATTTGAGTAATTTGAGGTGATTTTATTTTGGATTTTGTGATTTAATTTGAGATAATTTGGTTTTGGAGTAGTAATTTTTGGGAGGTGGTTTCTCTCTTGTAGCTTATATTTGATTAAATTTGTACAATATATAGTTGAATTGTTATTTTTTAATTTTATTATTAAAAGTTTGTTAAAGTTAGTTGAAGTGACTAGTTAAAATAGATAGTGTGGTTAGAGTGAATTTGAAAAAAACTGTTAATAATTTATATATTGTCTGCTTGAAAGGCCATATAAAAAGGAGCAATGCTATAGATACTTAAATATAGATAAAAAGTAATTTGGGTAGCTTATGACCAAATTTGAGTACCTCTTGATTAAAAATATGTTTTATGTGTAATTTTTGACCAAAATTTAGATAGCTCGTAATCAAAATTGTGTAATTTAGATAGTTATTTAACTAAAATTTGGATAAAAATTTAGTAAAGAGTTGTCTAAATTATTTTTTATCTATATTTAGATATTATGTGACAAGTTTATAATAAAAAATTATTAGTAATCTGAACGTGCTTGAACGATCATATAAAAATATATTTAATATTTTAAGAATTAAAATGATATAATTAAAATCTGAAAAATTAAAAGAAAATAAAATTTATACTTTGGTGCTTCCAACATAATTAACCCTTATTTTTTTATTCAAAATTTTGGCTCATCTGAACCAAACAAAAATATTTCTTTTTTTGTTTTTTTTTTCTTCCTGAAGACCGAGTGGAAGCTCAATCGTCGTGTACTGGCTTGGCTTGATCTCACTTCAAAATCCCCATCGACCCCCCTTACAAGCCAGGCTGTTACTTGACCCCTTCCCGACTGGTTATTCATAGTTGCTACCATTGGACGTCTTGGTGGCGGTGGTTCACTCCATAATTTGAAAACAAAGTAGATTTTCTGCATCAAAATGGGTGCTTCAGCATCAGTCCCACAGAAATCAATCCATGAATTCGCAGTCAAGGTTATCTCTGTCTTTCTCACACACCCATCTTCTTTTTCTGGCACATAAAACGTACATGTGTGTCAAAAATTGCAGATTAATATTATGGGTTTTTCTCAGAAAATCTAGGGTTTGTTGTTGGATGTGCAGGACAGCAAGGGTCAGGAGGTGGACCTCAGTATTTATGTAGGGAAGGTCCTCCTTGTTGTCAATGTCGCTTCCAAATGGTTCCCTCTCTTTTCCCCAAGTTAATTGATGCTTGATTCCCTTTTTTTTCTTTATGGGTGAGGTTTGATTTTTCTGTGTGGGTGCTGAAACAGTGGGTTTACACAGTCCAACTATACCCAGTTGACTGAGCTGTACGACAAATACAAAAATAAAGGTATGAACTTTTCAAGAACCTATGATTTCTTTTGCTTGATTTTGTTATTTTTAAGAAAACTATGAAATACCCATGACTTGTATTATCTATGTTTTTGTTTCTTTCTCAGTTTAAATGTTTATTGGGGTGTCTGGGTGTGTAAATTGATGTTTGATTAATTTTTGCTTGATTGCTCATTGGATTAGGTTGTTCATGAAACATGTTCATGTTTTTCAAATATAAATTGCTTTTGACCATTTTAGAGAGTCATACATGTTTATGCTTTGGTTATTTTATTGGAACAATTGCTTAGACTTCACTATGTATGTGTTTTGATATCAGGTTTTGAGATCTTGGCATTTCCATGCAATCAATTCATGAAACAAGAGCCTGGGACAAGCCAGGAGGCGCAGGAGTTTGCTTGTACTAGATTTAAGGCTGAATATCCGATCTTCCAAAAGGTAAGCAGTGCCATATGATGATCATAGAATGCTGTTGGATTTTATCATTGGGTACTTGTTGGTAAGTTTTGGTAAATACCTGATGTAAATGAGAGAGAGTTTAAGCAAAGAAAATTATACAAGATGTTTGAATTGCAAAATCGGAATTTTCATATGTGAAGTTTGCTCCCTCTGAACCTTTTCCATTGGTAAAAACACACGTTCCCTCCATGGATCGCCTAAAAGAAGCATGATCATTATTTCAGTGCACTGATAAAGAATGACCTCTCCGATCCACATACTTATATCTGGGTATTTGTTATGCTGGGTCTCCTAGTAGCTTTGGCCTGCATTGATGGCAGAGTGGATTGAAATTGGTTAGATGTACAGACTATGGAGGACAGAGCCTGGGACGGAGTTGCTCAAGAACCTATCTCAATGGTATATCTAGTTTGGGAAACTAGCAATAAACCACTAGGGATGTAATTTAAAGTTGAAAAGCTGGTTTTACCTCCTCTCGGTGGAAAATTTGTGAAGTTTGCTCGAAATATGATATATTTCTTGTTATGTACACGACCCATTAAGTTAATCACTTAATATTTTTTTTTTGCTATTTGTCAATCTTGTTATTCGAGCTTTGAATATTGAGTCAAAGTCTGGATATTATTTTTGGCACATATTTCCTCATTTTTTGGGTGTTATTTGCTTGAGTATCATATGATCAAGTGTTTGTTATTTAGGTACGTGTCAATGGATCAGATACAGCCCCTGTCTACAAATTCCTCAAAGCACATAGTGGTGGTTTTTTTGGATATAGTATCAAATGGAACTTCACCAAGTTCTTAGTTGATAAGGAAGGTCAAGTCATCCATCGTTATGCCCCAACCACTGCACCATTAGCGATTGAGGTAACCAACTAGCCACCTTCTCTCTCTCTCTCTCTCTCTCTCTTGCAAGATGCTGTTGCTTGTGGTTTGGAGGCCATGCTTCTAATCTTGATTTGTTGGATTTTTTCATGCAGGCAGACATCCAGAAAGCATTGGGAGTGGTGTGAGAGATGATATTCGGCTTATAAGATGGACTGGCTCAGGGCAAAATATACTTGTAGAGAGAATCTATGCTGTAAGCCAAATTGTTTATTCCTTTGAATGGTCATCCCCTT